TTCTCTGCTCTTTGGCTCCAACCTGCCCTGCAGCATTACAGCAGCTCCCCTAGACCCCAGGCTGCGAGGTTCTCACCCCTCCTATGCTCTGTTTTCTAACTTAGACCTCCCCTGCGGCATTACAGATGTTCCCCTGCTTTCCCAGCTCCCAAGTCTCCCCTTCTCTCCCCACATCCCACACACACTCAGCAGCCACTTACCCTGCAGCACTATGGAGCAGGGGCTGCTCATTGGGTGAGTTTATTCTGTGATGGGTACAACAAACAGCAGGACTGGAAAGATACTGCTGGAGGCATTTTTCATTTCTGACCCAAGTCCACCCCGGGTCTCCAGAGGTGGAAACAAATGGCCTAGAACTCACAGCACCTCTTAGCCAGGGTGAAGCATAGCTAGAACTGGGCCAAAACTTTCTTTCTGGCAACAAAGGATGACGAAACATTCTGCAACTTCATGGCAGTTTCACCCAATTGTTTCAGTTGAAAAAAAAGTTGGGAAAAAATCTAAATGTTTTGATTTTTAAACATTTTGTGAAGGGTTGAAATGACTTCTTGTTTTTATTTTTTTTTTTAAAAGAAGGAAAATGCAAAACAAGAAGTGTTTTTAAAGGTTGCTATCTAATGAAACATAAAGCTCAACCCCCCAGCACATTTATTTTTAACTCTTTGCTTCACCAAAAATTTTGAAAAATTATATGTTGTGGTTCTGCCTGAAATGGATATTTTATTGTTTTCAGACTTGCCAGCGAATCAAATAATGCCTTATTCGCACAGCTCTACGCAAGATTTCTCTGTGGTCGGACTGGGCTATTTCTGTAATGTGGGAGGACATATGTGTTACAATCTCCTCAAATGCCAGCTGTGGAATATGACTTGACTTTTCTAGACAAGGGTGGCCATCTCTATTCTCTTCCCGCATGTCCCCACTTTGGAAGGAACCTTTTCTTCCCACTAAGAAAATGGAAGAAAAACATAACTGAAAAAATAAAACAGCAGCAGCAAAGGCAAACATCTTCTGAGGGACCAGACTCCCCCTGCCCCACCCTTTTCGGATGCAAAGCTGCACAGTGGCATTCCTTATTGGTTATTCATTACAGCTCTTTTGGTTAGTCCTAATCATACGTGATGCCAGGAAACCACTGATTTCAAAGGAAGTTAGGAGCCTAAATGCCTTTGAAGATCTAGACCTGAGTGTATAGGCTGCAGAACTGCTATGCGATCCTTTTAGAACTGCCTATAAGTATGTTCCTGGAATGAGGTGAATCAGATCAGGAAATTAAATAAACAACCCCCTGAAACATTTTCCTGGTTTGGAATGTTTCAGAGTAGCAGCCGTGTTAGTCTGGATTTGCAAAAAGAAAAGGAGGGCTAGTGGCATCTTAGAGACTAACCAATTTATTAGAGCATAAGCTTTCGTGAGCTACAGCTCACTTCATCGGATGCATTCAGTGGAAAATCGAAAAGCTTATGCTCTAATAAATTGGTTAGTCTCTAAGGTGCCACTAGTACTCCTTTTCTTTCTGGTTTGGAATGTTTTCCCTTTTTCATTACTGGGCAAAACACCCACAAGACACAAGTCGTAGAAGGAAACTGACTAAGCAGTTTACTTAGGTTGTTGGCTGTGTGGGCCAGGGACAGTCTTTTAGTTCTGTGTGTGTACAGCTCCTGGCACAATAGGGTGCTGGCCTGTGATTGGAGATCCTAGGTGCTACTGCCGTACAAATACAGTAAATATTAATAACTAAGTGACAGAGCTGGTTGACAAATGCTATTTTACAGATGGGGAACTGTGGTGTGGAGAGAATAAATGACTTGCCTAAGGTCACATAGTGAGTCTGTAGCAGAGCGGGGAGTTGAATCCAGATCTCATGGCGCCCAGTCTACTGCCTTCAAGACCAACCATTCGGTAGCTAAGAAATGGTCAGGCAGAAATGTGATTGTTAATAGGCACTAACCGTTTGGAAATGCCAAGGCCGAGCAGCCAGCTTTAACTCCCCACATTGTGCCGCTAGTCTAGGAGCGATTGCCTCCTGCACAGCAGCCAGCAGGGAGGTATGGAGACTGTTGCAGCCTGTCAGGCAAATATGTAGCTAAAGGACACTGCAGAACAGGTGTTGTGGTCAGTAAGTGACGGCAGCTCCGGAGGAGCCCTTAAGGAGTAGTGGAATGTGTGTCCATTCCCAGCATGAGGCTGTCTCTGTGATCACCCTGCTCCTTCGAAACAGACTCTGGGGCTAGTTCCTATGGATGCGCAGCAGCTGGTGTTCTTAGGTGGATGACTGGGCCATTTCAAAAAGAGGGAAGTAACACAACGAGTTCATGCAGTAACCTTTAACCTCTGTAATGAAATCGAGCTCCAGCCATGAGTACACATTTCTCAGTGTCTCAAAACCACCAGACAGAAACTCTGAGAGGGTTGGCTCAGCCGCAGCAGGGAACAGCAACAGGTGCTGCAGGACAGATGTGCTGTGCGTGGAGAACCTAAGCCTGGAATAGCAGTGGGGGCAGGCAGGCTGCAGGTCAGGTTTAAGGTGCATTTGCACAGCTATGTACGGCAAATGTAGCCCTAGAATAATAATGGGGGCTGTCGATCAGGCTTGAGCGCTGTATAGGGTCCCACCACTGGAATAGCAGAAGGAGCTGCAAATCAGGTGAAGGTGCATTGGCGGAGCTCAGTGACTATGCGGATCTGGGCTAGCAGGCGGCGCTGAGATTCACTAACAGCGCGGTTAGATAGGGTGGCCCGGAAGGTGTTTCAGACCTGGACTGCGGTGCCTGTTGGCATTGCTCATGAGGGTTTATGCAGCTGCCCACGGGTAGCTTGGCTCCACTTGGCGATGTCAGCATCTCACTTTTATGGGCAGTAAAGGTATTTTTAATTATAGAGTGCTGAATAAGAACACTTAGGTACAGACATAGCAATATAGATACACAGACACGTACGTGAAGGCACAGTCCTGCTGATGGACATGAATCATGCAAAAGGGGTGAGACCCTTGCCAGGTTCCAGCTCAGAAATAAGGTTTATGGGCTTGCTCCTACTCCCATTGAAGTCCATAGGAAAACTCCCAGGGCCCTAATTTGGGGTTATAAACCCCTGAAAGACTAGGGCCCTGATCCTGCAAAATTCTTACTCGTGCAAGTAGCTCTTGCACACATGAGTATTTTCACTGATATCAGTGAGGCTACTTGGGTGAGTGAGTATTTGCAGGATCAGGAGTGGAAGGAAACCAGCCCTTGCTGGTGCCAGAGGGAATGGAAAAAGCAAGCGTATCCCTTGCTTGGTATTCTCTTGAGAGCCTCTATCCCCTTCTCTTAACCCCCTTCAAATGGCATGTGAGCTGCCCGGGAGGCAGTAAATGAACCTGATGGAAGCGCAGCTCCTGGGAGGGCAGGGGGTTAAAATTCTTGCTAGCAGTTCGGCAGGAAGCCTGAAGTCTCAGAGTAAATATAATAAACAATTGTGACTACGTGTCCTTTTAAAAATCCCAGCATTCCCCCCGGTTCGGAGGAAAAGTGACATCATCAGAGGCTGATACCTGTTCTGTTCTGCTGCACAGGGAAGGGGATGATATCATCTGTTTAGTGAAAATGACCTGAAAGTCCATATGAGCTTGGAAACTCCCTGAATGATTCATGCCAAACCTAACAGTCTGATCTCCTTACCTCCCCCACGCCCCTGCTGTGATATGAATTGGTTAAAACTGAAATGCAGGCATGGACGGAGCACAGCAAATCAGGCCCAGCTCCATCCTGGGGGTAGAGATGGGAAGCGTATTGTCACCTTTCAGGTTACTATGCTTCATTTTCAGATGGGACAAGTCAGTTGGGTTCTTCTCTTAATCACTTTCACTTCCCTGGAATTATGCCAGGGATTAATTGGTCTCTGGTTTTCTTTGACAGTTCCTTCTTTTTTCATTCTTGTTTTCTACTTTTCCCCTCTGCCCTCACCCAAAAAATAAAACCAAGCTCAGCCTTTGGTTTTTTGTGCATTTAGGCCGTCTGGCAACTCTGCGGCAAGTCCTCCATTCATCTTTCTAACAGGCAGAGAAATAAGCAGCAGCAATGCAAATCCCAATCTCCTGTCAGCCCCACTCGTGATTCATTTAAGTATGCCTCCTCTTGAGCTGAGAGGGTTGCCTCCTAGAGGATCAGAAGGGAATTCTAGCTCCATTTCCCCCTTTGGTCCTCTTCATCCACTCTGTTAACAATTAGCCTCCGATGTGACTGTGGTGTGTGTGAGATAAACACTTGGCCACCAGGAACTGGGATGAGACCACAAACTTGTGTATGATTCCATGTGTACAGGTCTTTACACAGCATGTAGGTGTATTTTACCAACTGTAATATGTTACTGTAACACATTAATAAGAATCCAGCTTTTGAAGGTTTTTCACACTAGCTTTCCTGAGAGGTAGTAGGAACCAGGTAGCCTTCTATTTAAATGACCTATCCTGCCATGGGATTAACGCTGACCATATGGGGCTATCACTGTAGCAGGAGGAAATTGACACAATTGTTTGACTTCAATGAGAGTTTTGTATAAAGAACCATTTCAGGACTGGGCCCAATTAAGCAGGCTCAGGTCCCAAAACCATATAGTGATTACAGTTAATCAAAACAAGAGACAAAAGTATACAAGTCACGATATAAAAAACCCTCTGTAGCTTTAACATCCCACTGTTCTGAAGTGGATGCACTTAATAAAATATACACAGTTGCTTTTTAAAATTTTTAATACAATGTATATTTATTGCAAACAATAATATACAAAAATGGTAAGTTTCACAAAGAGAACAAATGGTCTTGCAAACAAAACAAAATAAAACAAACTTACCTAAAGACAAAATATGATTTAAATGACAGGTCTTTTAAGTTACAGAAATACTTTAAAAAGATCTGCTTTTATACAGAAATAGAAAGATGCCATATTATGAGTGCTTTAAGATTTTTTCTACTGAATCCCTAAAAAAATACCCCCAAAACAAAAAACTCCCACAACTGTTAACAAATATATCATTTTTTTAAATAAAAAAAAGTTTGCTGTCTTTTTTAAAAAGCAATTCTTAACTGTTTAGCCACAGCTTCCCCACCTCAAAACAACATCAAGGGGTGGAAGGTTAGCAAGATGACACACACACATTTTGTCAATGGTGTCTTGTGTCTCACATACACACACCTTTGTGTGTCCAAAAGAGCTGAGGCAGAAAACAAGGCAAATGATTCAGTGATACACTACATTTGCAATCTCTAGTTTGTACAAAACAAAATTCCAGTTTATCCTTAAAACAAAAGAAAAAAAGGAAGAGGACACGTTTGTACAAACCTAGGACACAGATTCCAAAGAATAATAATAATAATAATAAAAAGGAATTAGAGATAAATAAAGAACTGGTTACAGTTTAGACCATAATTTAACAGGCATCATACCATCCAAATAAGACTCCAACAAATCTAATCGCTTTTAAAGGAGTTTAAAAAATGGAAGGGAGATTTTAAAAAGAAAATCTTGATTAAACTGGCTTTTCTCACAAAATAAATAATTTAAAATGTATCTGATGTTTCCAATGTGCCCTGCGGGTTTAATCCAAAGCCCACTGAAGCCAATAGGGGTCTTCAACGGGCTTTGGATCAGGCCCTAAATGTTTGCACTCAAGGCTCTTTAAAGGGCTGGGGAGGTGATGGGAGGCTTCCAGCATCTGTCATGCACATGGTGTCCAAAGCAGGAAGCTGAGGAGGGTGATGCTGGTTGTGGCATCATAATCTGCTGCTGATTGTTGGTAAAAGAGTCAGACGTAAGTTTTCCCAGAAATCGGATCTGCCTCCCTTCTGGGCTCTGTCTTTCTCCTTGCACTGGAGGGCAGTCGTATAAGAATCTCGAGGGGGGAAAAAATATTACAGGACTGCTTTTAAGGCTTTTCAACAGCGCTGCTTTAAGGCTCAAGGTCTTTAAAAAATAAAACTAACAAATTCTCCTCCTGGCTCTCTCGCTACTTCCAAGTTAGAAAAATAAAGCCTCTTTTGTTTTTAACCCCTTGCGTCTCCTAGGTTGCACAGCTGACCAAAGCTTAGCCTGATGCCAATCCCTGTTTAACAGTTTTTGTTCCTAATTAATGCACACTGTTTTATTTTGTTTTTCTTTAAAGAAAAGACTTTTATCTATACAAAAATACCTCTGACTGCAAGAAAAGCTAGGACTGCTCCACTAAGTGTCGTTTTAGCTGTTGGAAAAAATAAGAGCATTTAAAAAAAAATCTCTAAAAAATATATATAAATCCCCTCAAATTGGTAACAAATCATACACAGTACATACTAAAAATATTTAAAATAGAGAATATTCCTCACAGAGGACTCTGGGTATTTTTTTTCCTTTTTCTTTTCTTCTTTCAATTACTGCTAAAAATAATTACAAAAGTCCAAACACAGGCAGACGAGTTGGCTGGTGAGAAAGCTCATCTCTCGCCCCGGAATCAAGGTTAAAGTCCAGTCCTTGGAATGTCTGTACCGAGTTTTGCTGGTTCTCAGCAGAGTGGTCTGGCCACTTCCTGAAGGGTGCGGTAGTGCAGAAGGCCCGATGTGTTCTCTTTTTTCATCATCTTTAGCGTTAGTGTCTTTATTAAAAAAAAAAAAAAAAGTTGGAGACCGTTCTTTTTTCTCTCTCCTTGCTGTTGTTGCTATTGTCGCCCTTAGGGCCTCGTAAGCTGTGTGTAGACAGGCTGCTCCCAGTGCTGCGGGCTGTGGGTCTGGGGAATGGAAGGGACTCCGGTAGTGTCTGCAATGGGCGTGTACATGGGCCTTTGGGTGGGGTTCATGTACGTGAAGGTGGAGTAGAGGCTGGTGCTCTGGCTGGCCGCATGGCTGTAGTAGGAGTTGGAACTCTGGTGGTCTGTGTAGTCATACTGCGAGCGGGTGATGGTCGGGTAGGAGGAACTGTAGTGCTGAAGGTTGAAGGAGCTATAATTGAGCTGCTGTGGGGAGTGCTGCTGTTGCTCGCTGTAATGGCTGGGACTGAGCTGCTCTGTCTTGATGTGTGTCCTCTGCTGGGACTGGCCCTGTTCGCTGCTCAGGGTGGTCATCGCGTGCGGCGGCTGGGCCTGGGGCGGCGGCGGCTGTGGCTGTGGCTGTGGCTTGGACATCCAAACGTGCCCGGCCCCAGCTTGAGTGGCAGGCGTGCTACTGATCCCATAGCTGCCGCTGTAGGTGACTTGACCGGGTTGGCCGTGGGTGGCCGGGACTCCCGGGTGACCGTTGGGTGGGAGGTACTGGTCAAACTCATTTACGTCAAAGGTCTCTATGTTGGAGATGACGTCGCTGCTGAGTTCCCCAATGTCCACATCCCGGAAGTCAATGTGGGGCGGTTGTCTTCCTCCTTCCTGCAAAGGGCGCCCTTCTCGCTTCAGGTCTTGCTTCCCAGGCTGGACATCTGTTTTGGGTGTAGTAGGAGGAGTTGGGGGCCCCTGGGACTGCCCTGGAGAGGAAAAGAAATAGCACATGCAGTCGTGAGTTGGCTGCTTCCCTTGTTTTAAGTGAGCTCTCTGTCTCTTTAGCTGATATGGCACACAAAGACAGCCATAAGGCCCTGAAATCTAAAGTGAGCTGTTTTTTTATAAGCAGGAGGCAGTTGTATAAGGGTGATACCGCAGTTAATGGTTAACTCAAGATGTTTGGGGCCCTGGCAGATATCACCGCTTTGCCCCTGAAGTCGGTTGCGAAGGGTAACACGAACGTTTCCAGGTTCGTAACACGAGTGTGATCTGTATCTGTGCAAATATGTAGCACCAGATAAAATATGGGGCTTTTGAGATGGCCTGCAGCTCAAGGTGGTTTTTAATTTAATTCTGAATTAAAAAGCTGGAGAACGTCGATTGAAACTTTGTTGCAAGGAGAAAAGTTGGTGAAAAAGTCTGAAGCCTAGTAAGCGTGTTTGTGTGAGTGTATCTGATGCTGGATCCAGCTCTCGCGAGCCGTATCTACTGTTTGTCTGTCATTCTGTCTCTAAGCAGATTGCATTTGGAGCCTGGTTCAGAACACAGCGTGAGCTATGGAGTCACTGACAGTACCTCCGTAACATACAGACGGCTGTGTCTCTCCTTAGCTGCCTAGCCCAGTGTGTTGGGCCCAGGAGCGTGTGTGTGTGTGTGTGTGTCTGTATCAGGCTGCATATTTACCAGAGTGCTCTCCAGGAGAGTGAACCTCACTCATGCTGGAGGAAGACTGAGGAGAATCCGCCTGCAGGGCCTTGAAAATGGCATTGGGGGAGATGTGTGTTTGCTCGGAGCCCTCCTCCTGCTCCGCCTGCCCGTTCTTCACTGACTTTCTCCTCCGGGGCTGGTACTTGTAGTCAGGATGGTCCTTCTTGTGCTGGACCCGCAGCCTCTCGGCCTCCTCCACGAAAGGGCGCTTCTCGCTTTCATTCAGCAACCTGGGCAAGACACAGGGGAGCTGGGGGTTAGTTGCTTCTCCAACAGCAAGGACAGTGTACAGCGTGTCGTGCTGCCTAGAGGGCAGGCCCCAAGGGGCCCCCTGTCTTGACCTGCCATAAAGAGCTCTGCACCCCTAGGGTGCTACAAATGTCCGCACACACTACTACGGCCAGGCTGCAGTGCAGATTGCTCCCCCCGCCCAATAATCTGCACCCCCAGCCTCCCTTCTGCACACTCCATCCTGCATGACCAGCACACCTCCCCTGCTCCAGCTTGGCATCTCTCTGAATTGCAAGGAAAGGACCCCTCGTAGGTACCCCTTCCTCTACGGCCTGCCTCTTGCCATTGCTTCATAATCTCTTGCTGGCTGGTGGCGCCCTCTAACCCCCCGCTCCCATGAAACTGGCAGACTGTTTTGGTGGCCAAACAAGACACAACAAAACTAGGCAGTGACTTTTCTCCCCCTCTGGAAGAGGAGTGCGCGCACACACTGATTCAATAAAAAGATTAGATGACTAATGCCCTGGATGGCTCCGGGCACCACCTCTGGAGGTCCAGATTCGCTCAGAACTTTCCCCTTCTGCTGCGAATTTAACTTTTGTTTTGTTTTGTTTTTTCTCCTGCAGTCACAGAATAAGCCCCGGCCAGGTGACTCACTTTCTTTCTCCTTCCCCCTCCCTTTCTTCTCTTTCAATGCCGAAGAAATCGGGCCATGCACCTTTCTCCAGAACCACCCACCCGTAGCTTGGCACAACTTTGCCAACTTTCTCTCTCCCCTCTCCCCCATGATCATTTCTTCGTTTGTGCAAATCTGATGCAATGCGGATGAAGTCCGGTTTTACACACACACGTTCCAGAGCGCCCTCCTTGTTAGCACCAGCCACTTTCCAAAGCCTGCCAGGGGATCAAAGGGCTCTGCTCACCATCTTTCCGTAAACCTCTCCCGGACCAGAGCCCCACCGCCCTTCCTCCTTAGCCCGTGCAGGGCAGAAAAGCCACTTGAAAGTCGAGGAGGCCAAGCCCACGTACCCGCCTGCCCCAGCTTTTGCCCCAGCGCTAGCTTAGCTGCCTTTCCCCATGCACACGAGTTTGCCAGCAGCAGCAGCCAGCTTCCCAGAATCGAAACCACACGCTCTCCTGCCTGGTCCAAACTTCTCCCTGCTTTGCAAACCAAGGCCCTTTAAACACGTTCCCCCGCCTCACTCACCTCCAGAGTTTGCCCAGCGTTTTGCTGAGCTCTGCGTTGTGCAGATGCGGATACTGGTCCGCCAGCTTCCTCCGGGCCGCCTGTGCCCACACCATGAAGGCGTTCATGGGTCTCTTCACGTGGGGCTTGTTTTTGCTGGATCCGTTCACACGGACCGGCATGGGCACCAGGGTCCAGTCGTAGCCCTTCAGGACTTGGCTGACCGCCTCTCGGATGCACACCGGGAATTTGTCCTCGTCGCTCTCTTTCTTCAGATCCGGATCGCCCTTGGGGAAAGTGTTTTCTTGGGGTCTGGTGTTCTCAGTGTCCGAGCCGGAACCAGAAGGGCAGGGGGACCCCGCGGAGTCGTCCGACATGGTGGGGCTAGGGGCGCCAGAGATGCATTTGTCCTGCTCTTCTGTCATTTTCATGAAGGGGTCTAGGAGATTCATGCGAGAAAGCGGCAGAGGGGGAAAACAGTGGGATGAAAATCAAGGGGTGGGGGAGAGGAGGGGGGGAGGGATTAAAAATAATAATTATAAAGTGGCAACGCCTCTTTAAAACCAGCTGGGTTTGTGGTGGAGGAAGCAAGGAAGAGATGGAGGCGGGAGTGGGGTGGGAAGGAAGGCAGCAAAAAGTTTGCAAAAGAAACAAGAAAGTTTTGGCTGGTGAACAGCAGCTTGCAGGAGGGAAAAAAAAAAGTTTGTTCACAGCCGACTGCAAAGTTGCAGCTGCAGCGATCTGCTCTCAGAGACTTGCATGGACCCAGCTCTGAGGATAGTCAAAAGGGGGTGGGAAATAAAGTTTGGAGTTAGTCTTATTAGCCCCCTCTCTGTCCCCTCTTTCTCTCTGCCTCTCACAAGAAGAAAAAAAAAGTTCCTTGGTTTTTGGAAAGTTTAAGGCTCCCAATTTCACCTAGTCAATTTCAAGCTCAGCTCTCCAACTCTCTCTCCGCGTCTCTGTAATAAATACTCTCCTCTTCTATTTCACCTTAGAAACTTTCAGCCAATGACAGCCCTGCCCCTGGGGGGCTGGCACACAGATGATTGGCTACAAGTTTTTGTAGGGAGGGGAGAAAGGAGCGCAGGTCTCAGAGAAGGGGAAGACAAAAATACAGAAAAGTAGAAGTGTCTGAGTTTACTCTTTGTACTTCAGAACTTTTGTGGTGCCTTAAAAGTAAACTCGTCTTTATTTTGTATTTGTCTCGGCAATTTTTGATTGATTTCAGTGGGACTATGGACAGTCTCCTGTTCTATAAAAGATACTCCAGGGGGGTCAAATTGCATCACACAGGTTGCGTGCTCCTAATTTGCACTTACTTTGGCGTGACAAAGAACTTCGAGCTTTTTCTGTGAAGTAAACGATGTTGTGATTCGCCTCTGTTTGTTTTTTCATTATAACACCTAGAGCTGTTTTTAAACATACATTTGTCATCAAGGATGATGTTACGCTCACTGGTCTGCTGCTATTCTTTAATTAAAACCAGCATGGTTTAAAGCCACGCGCAGGCTTATTTGATAATTCAGTGCTTTAAGTTCTGTACTCACAGATGTAGAGCTCGCTTAACTCTGCAAAGTTCTGTGACAATTTATTGCTGAGCTACCTTGTTCAGAGGCTGGTCTTCTGGTTTGGACTGTAGTCTGAAGACTCTAGTCATTGACACTGTGTCAGTGTGGTGCAATTGGGCTAGTCGTCTTAAAATTAAACCTTAATTATTCAGTGGTCTGAAACACACTAAGTAAAAGTGTGTCTACTTTCTGCATTTTAATACACGAATAAACTTTATATACCGTTCTCGTCCATCGCTGTAACTTGCATTTATAGAGCTAACCGATGGCACTGAAGTTTCTCCAGTCTTACAATATAAACGGTATATTTGCATTTCTGAGCTTCGTAAAGTTAAGATGTACTAGAAAGAGTGATAGTTCTTTACAACAGATTTGTTTTCAGGATGAAATTATGAAGACCTGAGGGATATACATGCTCAAGTTAATTGTTAACTGCTAAGCGAGAACAGTCTCAAAATATGCAAAGACCATATCTAAAATAGTTACAAAATAATGTAATAAAACATGACATTTACTAATACACAGCATTTCCCCCAGCATTTAAACCCAGAAATTCTCTCTTCCCGTAGATTTACTTGCAGGATATAGAATGCAAATCTTTGCCTCTATATTTGCAGAAAGACTGTTTTCCCTGCTGTAAATGTTTACGTTTTCATTACATGTTTTGAATATCTTTTGGGTTCTTGCTAGTAAAAGTTTAACTCATTTTCAGTTTGCTCTTTATCTCCTGTTCTTTAGGGGCCGATAACTGGTATAGGGCATCCAAGATCTATTTGTTTTGCAAAGCTGGTATAATTCTGAAACAAACAGGAAGGGAAAAAATTGAGACTGTTATTCCTGATTTTAAGCTTGTCACAGCACACCCGCTAGTGATCATTAAACAAGTTTACCGTGTAATAAAAATAGCGAAGAAAATAGTTTTAAACATACCTATGTGGTTATTTCTTCTCATAATTAACACGTTAATGCCTCAACATTTGTAGATGCACAATCATATCAAACACATACCTATATCATCTCTCAGTCACAGATCATCAGATCTGTACCAGAGCTATTGCAAATAAAACTTAGCTGTTGATAGAAATCGTTTAAAATGGGAGAAGCACCCTCATTGTTGTCATGTTGTCTGATCCCTGCCAGGCACCATTACATGGGTTTGCTTTGCTTTCTGTGCGTTTGATACTCACATTTCATAGTCCCGTTTCTTTTTTGGAACTTTTACAGTTGTCAACAATCGCCTTTCTGCTGGTAAAATGTAATTCTTTTCTTTATCCAGAGGGGGCGCCAAAAGCCCAGAAACTAACCTCAAACTTTTCGCTTTAGGAGACTTTTTTAGAACAGGTTTCTTGCTGAATCTGGACTCGTCTTTGACAATCAGATTGATCAGCTCCAGGCATTTCCCCCTTTACAAGATTCAACAGCAAACTTTACTTCGCAAACCGTGAGGAGAAACTGATCAAAGTGTTTTCAGCCAGTGGTCAATGAAACTGACAAGATACCAAATAGTTATAAAATACTGCATAAAGTGTGTGTGTGTGTGTGTGTGTGGGGGGCTTTTAAAAAACTTTTTGGGAAAATCTACATATTCTAATGGAAGTTATTCTGGTGCATTTTCTCTTGCCCCCTCAAGTGTTCTCAATCCCTTATTTGCTTGTGATGCTGCTCTCAAAGAGCTCTTAATATTTATCTAAGGTTCATGTGGGAAAATTAAGGAGTGAAATGAGAAATAACTAAAGAATTAAAAAAACCCAAACCCCTGTATCCCAAGAATACAGCATGTTGGCCACTCCATACAGTTCCCGACACACTTTTTCTAAATTCATATTTATAAGTGAACGATGCAGTGTCTCACTTCGAGGCAGTCTCGAATCCGTCTGGATTTCCCAACGCACTTCTATGTCAATTTCTCTGCGTGCTGGAAGTACCTTCTGGGCAGAGCCGCTGCATCGCTTAGGAAGGTTTAGATTGCTCTCCAGCCTGACTGGGGACACTTTCCCCACAAAGACTTGTCTCTGTCCTTGTACAACTTCAATCGGTGACGCAACACACGGTTTTTAAAGAGTCGCCAAATTGGCCAAACTCGATCAGCAAAAATAAACAAACACGTCCCAACACACACGTTAAAAATTGCAGCCACTGATCTGTTTCTAAAGGGCCGCGATTTTTAACGTGTGTGTTGAGACGCGCTTCAAAAAAAAAAAAAAAGTCCAAACATTCCCCCTTCGCTTTGTAGTGAAATGTTCGGCACCTACGTTTCTAATTGCAGGCTTCTCTTTCGAGACAGCCAATGCATTGTCCGAGATAATAACAAGGTTATCTCGGTTGGGAATAAGACGCAAGTTGTGCTGATACTTCCAAGGAAATAAATAAATAAAAAGACTAAGCTGAGAACTGAATTTCTGAACAGATGCTTTTTAAAGACTGCGATTCCGAGTTTAACCTAAGGGTCTATCCCCCCCCCCCCACACACACACACTTCCCTGTAAACTAAGTGATCAAAACCTCTAGGGCCAAAGTAGGGGGGCACCTTTTTTTGCTGTAGTTTTCCTTATAAAATATACAGTGCCTAATTCTGAATTCAATTCGAGCACTGATGTCGGGTTTTCCCCTCAGTGCTTTATGGAAACTGCTTCAGTTCACAGCCTTTGTTCGGTTAAACAATTCCTCTAGGTAGCATTGTCCTGCTGGGTGACCGTACATTGGCGAGGGGACATTTTTAAAAAAGTGCAATTATTTTTTGAAATGGAATTGGAAATTGTGCGTGGCAAAAAAAAAAAAAAAAAAAAAAAAGGGCACAGGGGGAAGGAGCTCTGAAGAAATCAATTTGAAGAAAAACTCCCTGTTAGACCCTTTCTGTATTTGCTATCTTTCTCTGGGAGTTTTTGCTTGGAAACCTCTGGCAAACAGCTATCTTTGGGTGAGCTGAAAGGTAAGTGTATGCCTTATTTATAGAGCCTTTGTCTGAAATCACAGGGGAGGCGAGAAGATGATTTGTTTTTTTTATGATTGACTGCAACACTTAAAAACATTTCCCAGTGTTACAGATATGATTGGGCTAAATATATAGCAGAGACCAAGTAGGAAGGTATATTGAGATTTGCATCAACATTTGGGATGAACATAGTTAATCTATTCTTAATATTTAGATGGACAATTCTAGAAAAAAAATTCACTTACCAATTTAAGACTCAGATTAGCTATTTCAGGAGACAAATTTAGCCCAGCACATCTATTCTTTAATATTTGGTCTAGAAATATCAAAGAAAGCTCAACCAATACATTGTTCTTCTCTCAGCGGAACTGGTAAAGCAAAAAGTCTGAACAAATGTACCTGGAGGAGAAGGGGGTGTGGGTGGGGGAGGGGGGGAAGTGACAACAGATTGTTCCCTTCTGTTAGTGCTGATTGATTGGCAAAGAAGGAAAATCCCATGATTTTGGAGGATAATTGACTTAATGAAAAATGTAATAGAACATTTTTCATCCTGAAAGACCATTTGTTGAAAATATTCTGCCTTTTCATGACAAGAGAATCTATTTTAACAAAAGAAAATGGTTTAACAAGTTTGAAAAATAAACAAAAGAAAAATGTAAAGCAGATATCATGTCCCATGTCATAGTTTGCATAGTTTTTTTAAAAAAAGCCCTGGTCTCCTGGATAGTTAGACATATGGACAATCTGATCAATCAGATTCACTTTTTAAGAGTAGAATGTTTTTTATTGAAGTCATGTTTTATACAGCAGGATAGTGTGTTTTCGATTTAATCTTATTTTACAGGGAGTATTCAAGCCCAGGCTTCAGGAAAGATTTTTGACAAATAAGAATGTGAATTACAATCCTCATTTGATTTTTTTCCCCTCTTGTGCTAATTCAGCTTCTTTAGTTATTTCAGGAAACCCTCTTTCTAAACTATTTAGGAGAGAGGGAAAGAGACGGTCAGTTTAATAGCAAGGGGACTAATATCCACACAAGACATTAAATATTTTTCTCTCAAACCCTGCAAATGTGTACCATAGCCATATTGACATGAATCAGATGTGTTTGCTGAGAGCCAGCTTCTGCATGTACATGTAAGTCAGTTGTAGTATACTGAAATGAGAGGGGAGGAGGAGAGGGAGAAGGGAAGCTGGCAAATTCACCTTCATGTTTTCCTTATGAAGTTCAGTAATTTCTAAAGTCCACTGTGTCTCTCCCCTCTACCCCAGACTCTTTGACCACCCCCATAACCCCCTGTGAAGTTGTCATGCTGAAATTGCTGACAGCCACTTATTTGCATAGTTGTCGGCTGTGATGTCACCAACACAGCCCTGGGACCTCTCTGCTGGGTCAGAACAGACTCTTCATTGGAACAAAAAGTTCATCCTTGGTAGGACAGGAAACCCAGGGAAATGCTGGCTCCCTGCATTTCTGCTGGGAGAAATGTTCGCCTTTTCAAATGATGTGCTGCAGAGTGAAAGCCCTTTCTGTCACTGCATATGCTCAGCCATTTGGAGTGTGTGTGTGTGTGTGTGTGTGTGGTGGGGCAAAGTAGAGAGGAGCGGGGATACAGTGCAACCCTTTAAAAATATACACCAGGAAGCTAGTGCAAAAATCTCTCTGAATTTTGCTGTATGCAAAACTTTTCATGACTATTCCATGGCACAAAAGCAGATGCCAGCTAAGTCTGTACTTCCTAGATTCCTCAGTGCTTCCTCCATTTGGAAGGCAATTTTCAACTGGAAAATCTGGAGGTGTAAAGAATTTTTTAAAACTATGTAATCATTTTGCCCACTCATAAGCCATGGAATGATTTCTTAAATAAGAGCACACTGTCTGTGTTCATGTGCGTTAAGACAATTTCATCAAAGTCAAAACAGTGACACATTTTTATTTCCACTTACAAAATAAAAGGAGTGAGAGCCTGGAAACATGCTCTGAACAGATGTAAATCTGGAAGGTCAGTGTTACCCTTGATCAGTGCAGAATGTTTTCATCTGTTGGTGCAAGATGTTAGCATTTTAGCTAATTTATCTCATTCAGATTGTTTGTACTCCGGTCACTGGGGCAGGGACCTTATACCTTTCCAAACACATCGTTGTCACTTAACAAACAATAAATAATTGTTCACGATTTTTTATTGACACAAAAGAATAAATATCACTTGAGCTTAGAGAATGACAGAGGGGAGAATTACATTTTACATGCACTGTGAAAGGCAACCCATGTGGATGCACGTTAGGGTTAACATTAGAAACAGCTGTTGCCAGGTCGCCAGAGTTGTCCAAGGCCCTTCTGGCACTTACAGAGATGCCAGGAGAACAGTGGGTGCTTTAAACTGTGGCTGAAAGTGGTTGGAGGCTGCAGGAATTATCTTGTGTAGGAGTGGCCCATCACATACTCCTCTGTTCGGGTTAGCAGTCTGCCTTACTCAGAATCCAGTAACCACTGGGATGTTTCCTTGTGTACTGTAGCTATTTATTTTGCAAATGCCTGCTAATTTCTTAGACCACTTTCTGATTAGCCTTTGTCAGGAGGAATGTGGGTTTCTGTCCTATTTTAATAGTGAGAATGGTGGCTGTTAGGTGATGGCTTTGGGGCGGAATTATGGCTTATTTTGCAGCCTGAACTAAGAATTCTTTGGTATTTGTGTTGAATTATTATATTAATCTTAACTGTTCATTAACAAAGCTCTTTATCTATCTATCTATCTATCTATCTATCTATCTATCTATCTATCTAATCACCAGTTTGTCAGAATAATTTACAACCCTATGCTGCTGCTGAGCTGGGCAAAATGTAGATTGATTTAAGCTTTGGAACTAATGAAATGTAAAGCAATGGGAGTGAAAGCTGGACCAGTGGCATTTTTCTCTTTCTTTGGATTGTAAAGTGAAGGGGAGATTACAGATTACAGTATGATTTCCTGAAGGACATTGATGTTTTAATGTTTTAATTAATCCCTGAAAATGACTACCTCTTCATGTTTGCCATGTAGAATATAATGAAAAGGTTCCATAACGAAAGTATAAAGCAAAAGTGGACAGTGCTGCAATAAAAATACTGTAACTACTTTTAAGGGCTGGCTTCTTTTGAGTGGCAAGATCAGATTGGGTATACCTCTTTATTTGTCTGCAGAATAACTGTGGGCTGACCCTTGCTTATGAAATAGCACCATTCTAAATAGAATTGAGATTTGCTCCTGAAAAAGATAATTCCAGGAGTATGAATTCACTGTAGGCCAGATCCTGTTTTTGCAGCAAGTAGAATCAGACATTGCACTTGAATTTTCCAGACAGCAGCAAGTACACTTGTTGTCTCTGATTATGAAAGCTCTTTTGCACCTGATCATTGGGTAAAAAATAATGTTAGAAGCACCCAAAATATGTAGAGACCAAGAATTAGTACAAGGAAAAATAGGGAGTTTTAACCCATCCATTGGTTATGAGTGATAGCAGAGCAGAAACTCCAGAGACTGGTTGATTCTATTTTGCATGTTTGAATCCAGATCTCTGAGCTGAGGGCACCTGACTAGTTCTATAGGATTTTTAACACTTCGTGGCTCCAGGGCAGGCTCAGTGGTGTGCGTGTGTATACACACACACACTTTTTGTTTTCTCCCGTTTCCTCCACACTTTGAAACCACTGCACACAAACTTGTAATTTACCAATGTTCTCTTCTCAAGATTATTATTTTAAAAAATAACATTGGCTTCAAGCTCTGCAAACTTGGTAGGTCTAGGAGATGTATCTGACAGTTGAAAGTGAAGGGGAATACCCTTGCAATAGTACAGAATTTTTCCCATGCTAGTGGAAGTGGAATATTTTGCGAGATACTTTCAAAGACGTTAGGGTGCATCTTATATTTGGTGGTCTGGTCACATAGCCTAATTTTTGCCTCCTGATGTGAACATCGATACTTTGTTCCTAAGAAGGTCTTGAGATGTGATCCAAGTATGCTACCAGGCAAAAGAACCAAGCTAAAAATAGCCTTATGTTGCCTTCTGCTAGGTCAGAACTGTGGGCTCTGAAGAGGTATCCAGGAGCTACCTTTCTAAATCAAGTTCATCTTACTTCGAGTCCCACTTTGGAGTGGACGTTGCCTGGATAGGGATCTGAATCAGATGCGCAATCTGTTTTGAATAATTTTATTTTAAACCAATCATAGGGAAAAGGTCAAACTCTGCTAATGGGGGCCAAAGACCTGTCTTCCAATTCATAACAGCACAGAGATGGCTGGAGAAGGAATAGATGTTTGTTGAACAACCAGTATTTTTTTTCCTTAAAATCAGCCCTATACAGCAAGAAAATGACAGTAAAAAACACCTTCCCAATTTTCCCTTCATCTGCTGTTTGACCGAGAGATCTTACATTCAAATTGAACAAATACTTTGAGTTCAGATCATGCGTTTATTGGCTTTCAACCTCCATCACAACTGCATATATTCTGAAGGATGCAGTGTTTTAAACTGCAGTGGGTTGTGTTGCCCCACTATATTTGCAAAGAAATACATGCTCTGGTGCTGAGGCCTTCCTTTAAAAATCATTATGAACTCTTAAAAATAAACAGGATTGTTTCAAAAGGTGGAAAACTCTATTTAAATACTACTAATAAAAAGTCCATCAGCAACATAGTAAACCCTGGTAGCTTCATATCTTTTTTTAACTCTTCAGCTGACACAACACATTCTTACAAGTGGCTATTCAGGTATGACGTGTATTGAAGCTAACATGTTGTGGAAATTGGACCTCATATTTCATAGTCACCTACAGATAAATGCATGGGGGTAATTTAAAACTAGCCCTATTATATTTTCCAAGGAATAGTTCATATTACACAGTCCAGCAATGGCTTACAAGAAATTCATGAGAATTGGAAGGGGGAATAAAACTACCATTCTCTCTACCTGTTTGTGCAGCTCCTTCCTAATGCAGGGAGAGCTCGACTGTTTAT